AATTGTGTAATGGTGTTTTTAGGTTTTTGCAGACAAGTTTATGCGTCGTGAAATACTTGCCATTGTCGTTCACTGTACCTTTAAGGATGATGGGTGTATCTGGAAAGGAGAAGTGAGACATTTGGAGGTAACTTATATAGAGGGCCCTTTGTTGTAAATTAATTTCGCCGGAATTCGCCCGTGCGAATGAACCGTAGATAGCGCACGGGCGCCTTCGAAATTATTAGGCTTTTGTACATTATGCTTTTATTTCCCCACTAAAATGTTCCACCTTAATGCTCCATTTTTCCCACTAAAATGCTCGGTCTCCTGCCAAAAAGTCACTAAAATTCTCGGTTAATGCTCACACATAGGAGTTTTTAAATTTTAATAATTTTAACGTTTTGACACAATTAAAGCTCGGGGTGCTTAAAAAATCGTTTACGGAGTATAACTCAACGTATGTAATAATTTTTATACACCAAAAGATAATTCTGTAAATGATCTTTTAATTTGATTTGACTACCGCTGACCTCTCCTCAGTTTCCACTCGTCTGTTTTAGGGCGGCGTTTGAAATTTTTTCAATTTCAGGTTAAGACTTCATTTTCTTCAAAAAAAAAAATTTGATATCTATTTTCTGTACGTGGAAAAAAGTTAATTTTCCGGGAAAATTCCACTAAAGTGATCAAATAATGCTTAATGCTTTTGCCTCACTAAAATGCTCGAAAAAATGCTAGCATAATGTACAAAAGCCTAGTAATTATGTAAATTTTGTTTGTTCACAAGTATAAAAATTTCGTATTCATATTTTTTAAGCTTATGGTTTGTAAAATTGATGACGACTAAACCGTCTCAAGTTTGTGGTTGGAGTCGTTCTTACTTCTTGAGACGGCCTTTGATGTTATGTTAAGCACGAGAAACAGTGGTTGATTACATTTCCAAACACCGAGGAGAATTGAAAATACGACGTGCAGCGTAGGAGTTAAAAAGAATGCGATGAAGCTTTTTCTTTAGTGTTAGAGATAATCGCAAATTACTTGACCAATTTTATCGGCTGTACCTCTGCAGTGCGGGCTTGAGTTTTAAATGTTTTCCTATCTTGGAGTGGAAGATATAATAAAAATTCCAATAAACCTCTTTTAGGTCTCCATATCTGCATCGTTAAACAAAGTTCCTCGTTTTCCCCTTGACTTTTTGCACCGCGCTTGAGCCATAAATTTTCCGGAAAAACTCAGGTTCTCTGTCTTACAATACAGACGTCGCATTGAAGTAGTATCTGAGCGGTATAGAGTATCGAATTTTAACTGATTTACCAAATTTTATGCAGAATCACACCAACAGTTGCGAGTTCCTGAAAATACCTTGCGTGCATCCTGAGTGTGGCGTCCTGGTGAAAAAAGCTGATCTAACTCGTCACTTGGAAAGTGAATGCTTGTATCGACTGGAGAAGTGCGACCTTTGCCAGAGAAAAATAGTGTTATCGAGGATGAAGGTACGTGAGACCATATACTACTTTAAATACGTGGCTGCTGTGGCGGCCTAACGATTAGCACCGCGCACTGGACTCCAGATAGAGCGATCTGGGTTCGAACCCTGGCCGGGGACACGGTGTTGAGTTCTTGTCAGGGCAGTGGGCACTTCTCAGTGGGTCAGTCATCACATCATTAAATGAGAATGTTAAATTTTTTTTATAAATGATAGCAAACAAGACGGAATCATTAGCAGTAGCAAGATTACGATGGATTACCGGGAAATGACCCCCCCCCCGGGAAGGGATTCTCATATAAAAAGAACAGGAGTGCTGGTCGTACCTTTCACAATTTAGGGGTTGAAGAGGCGGATTTGGTACCTGTTAGGGAGTTCAGCCTCAAAAGGTCCTACAGCGGGAACCTTCGCGGTACCTTTTAGGGTATCGAGACGAAAAAAGTCAGTGTCAGTTTTTTTGTTGTCTTAGAGGTGGTACCTCTTAGGTGGGGGGGGGGGGGGGG